ATGGAAATACAAAGCAATACCTGGAATTGATGCACCTTCCAGGTTACAATTACTCCGAAGAGTATCTAACAAAGATGAATAAGTGACGTTAAGTCCAACTGCTACCGGATCAATCTAAATATGGCTGTAGCCATATTAAAGATCAAATTTAAACAACATATATACAGATCAGAAGCAAACACAAAAACTTCAATATAAGTACAAAATATAGAAATAATAACAATATACAATGATAAAATCTCAAACTGGAATCAAATAAAATACCAAAAATGTCAACAGAAAGAGTCCGTCATGTCATAACAAAAATATGTAAACATGGAGGGATTTTCCAAAAAACAAAACGTTCAAGAAGTATTCTACAACGGCGTCGATACATTGAAGTCTTACTTTTCAGGACTATCGATACAAGCCTGAAGATCGCGTATTAAAAAATAAGGACAGAAATACGGATTAAAAATTCCATCCCGGTGTCCGCCAAATTTTGACCATATCAAGTTGGCCGTGGAAATAAAATGTGGATATGTAATAAATACGAATGAGACTTTGTTGACATTTTGTGGGTTCATGAAATCTGTAGAAAAGGAACATGAATATATACATTTAAAAATTTGGAAAAATTGATGCTGACCTCGTTAGTTTTACTAAACGTGGCCCAAGTCAGTGGCTCACTGCCACATCTGCACCAAATCACCATGAGGTACGTCGTGCAGCTCATCTCACTGCATCAACTTGCTTGCTTAGTGCACTCACTCTTCGATGTCTTGAAACATACATTCAATCTTCATTTTCTACTTAGGATAAGAGGACTACATAATATTTTTCTAGATTTTTGGAATTCCGAGTACACAAGGACATCAAGTGTTAGTCTCTTGAATCTTCACAGCACCATAAAAGTTCAAAAGCAGCAAGCTTCAGTGAGACCTAGGACTGAGTTATAATATATGATATGACTGTTCTGCTAATAGTCATATTTCAGGTGATCTTGTGAAGTTGCTGTCCGGTCAGAATTTGTTTACAGATTTGGTAAAAGCTTCTTGATGCTCGTTTTCTGATGCAGATTACAGTTTAATTTCCGTTCATAATTATAACATCGATAAGAGTCTGCCAAATATATATAGGGACTTAGGTGGTTAGGGCTGACAGTATTCATAGTTCATTTTATGTCAGCGACTGGGATAAAAAGTCATAAGGAACCATTTTTAGGCCCTATTAAGCAATACATTCGATGAGTCCTGACTTTCGACAATGTATGCGCTTCACCGTTAGGTGTGCTAAGTAAAAACATTGATTCGCTCAAAATAAGAATTTAAAGATACCTCTAAAGACTGGAGAATAGTGTATCGAAACAATTCCGGCTGCAGGATTTCCAACATCTTTACGACGTACTCGAATAGTTGTTTGTTGTTTCTCCGACTGACCGGGCGATTTGAAACGTTTTCATGCATAATCATGAGGACGTCGGCTGTATTTTATAAGGGATATATCAAGCTCCTCATAGCTAGTTTGTGGAGTATGATTTGTTTGTTATTCAGAAGGCATTTAAAAACTGTATGGTTTCTTCTTTCATTTACTGACGTGCTTACAGGCAATAAAATATCAAAGTGTGAAATATGATATTGTCCCCTTATCTCCTCTGTCTAAGTACCGACTGTGTAAGTTTATGGTTATTTTTTGACTAATACCTTGTATTTTGTGTTGGAGTAGGCTGCGTCCTACACCAACGATAGTGCCGTTTTTATCTCGTTTCTGAGAGATGATTCTGTGAAAACTCACGTCAGAAACCTAAAAAATAATTTAGGCGCTTAAATTATTTCTCTCAGTCTTGACTTATAACTAAAGGCATCTTGTAACCAGGATCCCGTATTTTAAAGTGTTGGTATTGCCAACGATGTTCAGTGGACTTCCCCAAAGTCAACTGATAATCTGAGGAAATTATCTGGTTTTTTTTAAATTCCAACTCATTAATTTTAAACAATCATGTGATTACGAGGCTCTAATTCTTATTTCTCCCAGTTTTACTATAGGGCCCCCCAAAGTTGGTAGACGACTTAGACTGTACAACTGATTATCATAACTACCATTTAAACAACGATTAAGTAAACCGAATTTTGAAATTATTTCTTACTGTTAAATAACAAGCAGTTAAAACTCCCTGTCACGTTGAACCGTACTTGCTCCATTCGTAGTTGATTGTCGAAAAACTAACTTCAAAGATATTCAAACAATAAATCTCAGTTATGGTGTATTTATGAAAATGTATGACTGTGGCTTCTAATACGAAGAACACCACTTTCTTACGATAGACCATAGTCCATTTTGTTTTTCTCTAGGAGGTTAAGTAGTGTTGCTAATCGACCCTAATCTAAGTTAATGAAGCTGTAGTTCGCGACTTAGTTTCGTCGATTACTTATAATACTTAGTCATCAAAGTAGCGATAATAGTATAACATACGTCTCTGCATGTATATCGCTTTATATTTATACTATTGTAATGTAAGTAGGTAAGATTGTGTTTATTTACTTTTATCACCCAACAACCTCTCCTCTAAGGCTTCTAATAACCTCATCAGCTGGTTGAAATGGTTTATCAAAGTGTTTGCAGTTGAACTCTACTCGGATGCTTTTAGTTTACCAAAACTCACTGGCAGAGTATACATGGCCCGCTTTAATAAGTGGCTCGAATTTTTCCAGTTTTCTGGATAATCCGTTATTCGTTCCATCCGCAATATCAGTTTGTAAACAATGAGTGTGTGTTTCGATCTTTCTAAACCATTTAGCCAAACAACGTCTCCATTCCAAAATGTGTTGGAGTTTTCCTCCAATATTGTTTATCTATCAACTTAACACTAAGAGCACTCAAATAGCACCTTCAAGTATTATTCTTTCAGGGTTTATTAGAACTTATTCAGTAAACAGTACACTAATTTATTCACATAAATGAATAGTGGTGGCCTAGCGGTTAAGACTCCTGACTTTTAAACGCCTGACTGCAGGTTTGAATCCTGCTGTACTTCAGTTTGGACACCTTGGTTGTATCATTAGCCTGGACACAAAATATTGTTGAAAGCTAAATGAATAAATGAAATAGCTACATCTCATATTCTTTTCAGAATCCATGAGGTCTCCATGCATTGCTACTATCAAGAAATAAATTTCCTGATTAAAGTGCCTTATTATCTTGGATGCTATGGAGAAATTCAAACTATTTTATTTCTCTAGGTACTTTAAGACGGAAAGTTATGGTATTAGATTTGGACGAGACACTGATTCATTCAGTACACGATGGAATAATGCGACCAACAGTCAGACCAGGAACACCTCCAGATTTTGTCCTCAAAGTTTTTATTGACCACCATCCTGTTCGCTTCTCAGTTCATAAACGACCGCATGTTGATTTTTTCCTCAATGTGGTAAGTATGTTGCCAGAATCTATGTTCTTCCCAAAGATATCAAAGCTAGGTAATACGTTTGTGTCCTAATTAGTGTATATTTCGTTTGCCGATCAACTAAATACATGTAGCCAGGTCTATGAAATACCTTGTTTATGACTCCATAATTGTATTACAATTCTGTGAATCACATCGTTACTATTTTTGTGCTATGGGCACATTAACTACGGTTACTAAGGCTATGTTAGTTTCATGTGGCCTATTTAAAACGCATTTAGTGATGGGCTTGTTATCACCACAACGTACGAAGTTGTTAATGAATGAATGAAATGAAATATCACTTCTGATAATGAGGGATTTTATTCAATAATGACTCATTATGAAAGTCGATAGTTATTTACTGTTATGCTTATAAACTTTGGCTTCTTTATACATTTTTTTCTTTAAAAAGACAAGTAGATAAGGTTATGTTTAACTCAATGTGTTGGATAAGTAATCTAAAGGTCATAATAAAACAACCTTTGGTTCTTCTATGTTGCCCCAACCGTAGCTGCTACTTTGACGTGGTGGTCGGGCTTGCCTATTGTGACGACCCAACCGAGTTATATTGACTGGAACATATGTTCCTAAAGGTTCTGCCATGCCATGCAGGTCGAGTGGTGAACGATGAGACTAAAAGCAGCTACTCAAGGTCTGAGGGCGAAGTCGTACTGCTCACTGCAGAGGGGTGTGACAGCAGTAAGGTGTTTCCCTCGGACAACCAGCATCTGCAGCGATGCTGCGTTCTCACACGTAAGGAAGGGTTAGAAAAGGTGGACCGTAAAAATGTCACACCTCACTCTACCTCACGGATTTCCGTCTCCGGCGGCAAGGTTGCCCACTAAGGGCTTTCAAGAGCTGAGGTAACACTCAAAAAACCTTTAGTAAAAATGCCGTGCGTGACCGGCCTCAAGCAGTTGTCCCTCGGACAGACAAACAGATACAACGCAGAACTTCGTACGTAAGTACATAAGTTCAGGTTACCATACCACATCAGCACCGAGACACAACTGTCAGTTCAAATTTAAGAGTGATAGCGATAGTAGAAGTATTAGCACTAATGCAGAAGATTAGGGAACGAAGATATGATTCGAGAAGTATAATTCAGTGAAATCAATTTAAAAGGAGAAAGATAGAGATTATGGGGAGTTCAGAAGGTTAGAATTAGAGAGAACACAAACAGTGGATGCACCTGCGCCACTGCAAACGATTCTGAGCCATGTCATTCAAGGTCTCTAACCATCGATGACTTTCGTCTCGCGGACCCCAACCAGGTAGCCTACATCTACCAACATGACTCAGTCCACTTGTCAGTGACCATGTCATTATCAGATTACAGAGACAGGAATACAGTCATTCAGGACCATGACATTTTCCAGAAGGCATATGGTTTTCGCTCTAATACTCAGTATGAAACCTAGTGTTATTATATGCCTTCATCGCATTAATTCGATTTTGAACTTGATGAACAGATGTGTATTTTACATTTAAGCTATCCGTAATATTAGTCAACTCGTTACAATCAGTGTTTAGTTCCGAAAATTACTAATTAAGCCTCATCTGACAAGTCCAGTGATCATCAACGTAGAGTTCAAGCGTACGTCTCATTGCTTTAAGAGTACTATCGCCCAGTAATCAAAATACACCACAATGACATGATTGTGTTATCTGAGTGAAGTGTACCTCAGCTTAATCCACCAAACTCAGCTAAGTCTCAGTAACTCTTAGTGACGAAAATTAACATTGTTAATAATTGGCGGCATCATCCTTAGATTTTACAGTTATATGAAGCTGGACGTTGGCGTGCCCGTCGCATGTGGTTTTGATTTGTAGAAAGTAAGCAGAAACCATCTCGAATGTCAAGCTTATAATCTTCAACTTCTGGACTCTTAATTAATGTTTAAATTGCTGACTGCTTTGTAAGTGTAAACAGACTAGAATATTATTAGTAACAGTTGTCTTCTGGTTTCATAGGCCATCAAATTTTCTGCTAATCAATTTAGGTTTGGAAAGTCCCCTCATACACACAAACTCTTAAGTAGTACTGTTCCATTCTTATGATAGAATGTCCACAAACCTCTTAATTGTAATGGCTTAGTGTTTTTATTACTGATCACGGCTTGGTCATTTGATATTTTAAGGATTGCCCAGTAGATCTAATGTCAGTGTGTTTTTCCTTCTTTCAACCACTTCATTTTGTATCTCGTAAAATATTAGTTATGTAATTTATTAAATTCTAAGTGATTCGTTGTTTTTTGATAACATGATTTCCATTGATCTCACTTGTAAAAATTCCTACCCCCTATTAAACTTAAATATTTACAAATTCTAAATTTAATATCCTATTATGATTTTGATATAATTCTGTGTAGATAAGCCAGTGGTATGAACTTGTAATATATACAGCTAGTCTTGAAATTTATGGAGCAGGAGTAACTGAATTGCTCGACAATGGACGTCATATTCTTCAGAGACGATTTTATCGACAGGTTGGTTACTGTTCTATAAATTATTTATATTTCAACGTCACGTCCTCAATATTATGTGAGGTAATATAATTAGTTGATTTCTCGGTAATAATCTGTAGTGTCTCAATTTGGTCAGTACAGAATTCAGACTGTTAATCTGGAAGTTCAGTGTTTACTGAATCTTTTATTCAGTTCAAAAACAATTCATTTAAAACATTTCTTAGCACGGACGGTAGTATGATATCGTTGTAGTACTCACACGTACAAAGATCTCCTTTCTTTGGTATCTTGATGAAATATCCTTCTCCACAGCCTGTTGTTACTTGTTCTTTGTCCCAAATCTTTCTGAAGAAAATGAGAAGCATCTTTGCAATTACTTCTATATCTAACTTCAGTGCTCTTGTTGTTCTTTTGTTTGGTTCGACTGTTTTACCCTTCTTTATTTGTCTAATAGATATACTGATTCCTTCGATTGTTGACAGGGCAACATTTGTAAGAAAGTCTATGAGTGCTGGTTCGATTTCTGGTTGGTTAAGTGGGACTGATATATTCAAGCGTTCTTCAAAGTGTGCTGCCTACCTGTTTCACTGTTTTTGAGTCTCGATGATTGGTTTTCTTTCTTTGTTCTTGACTGAACGCTCTAGTTTACCATATTTTCCTTTTAGTTTCTTCGTTATGTCATGGGGTTGTCACATGTTTAATTTTCTTGTAGATTTTCCCTCTGCGATTTCCAGGTCTTCCACATATTTTTGTTCATAATCTTTAATGCTCACCTTAACCCACTTGTTCGTTCCTGCCAAATGAACTTGCGCATTGACTTTTCCTACTCTTGTCTGGCTGTTATTGACTGCTATCCTCTTGTTCTTCCTTTATTTAATCTTATCTAGTGTACCAGTATAGATCTACTATTTATGCTGGTGCTTCTTGCGGCCTAGCACGTTCTGAAAAGTTAATGTTATTGCTTCTTCAAGCTGTTTCCATTTCTTCATAGTAGTCTCCTCTTCTTTGGATAGATCATGTAAAACTTGGAACTCATTGAGGAGAGCTATCTTGCATTTCCTGAGTTTGTCAGCATCCCTAAGGAAGACTGTAATTAACTTTTGTAACACTGTTTATTCTTTTTTTTAGCTGGAGTTTTATCTTGGTCACCACTGGGTGGTGAACTAAAGCCACATCAGCTCCTCTTGTTTTTGATTCTTCTTTGGACCTTCTGAATTTTTAATTGATACCCAGTATTATTTATTCCCATAAGGACTGTTAGGTCCTTTTTTCAGCATTTCAATACCATTAATTGCAGCTTCATAGAACTGATCCTTATCGTCTGCACTGGTATTATTGGTGGACACACTGCACTAGATGACATCCACTGTAATTCAACTCTTTGGTTTTGGAGGATGCTTTGATGATTCTGGGTTCATAATATTCATATCGCATAAATGCCTTTCTTACTCCTTTGGAGGGCATCGGTTTAACCGCTCGTGTGTGTGTGAGACATGTTCTCCTTTATGACCAGAGTACAACAACAACTCTCCCGAATCTAATCTTTTATGTCCAGCTTGTGTCTAATGAGTTTCATTCATTCCAAGCATCTCCAGGTTGTATCTTTTCATTTCGCAGCTAACTTTCCCTCCCTAACATGATATCCTTGTTCTCTAGTTCATTCTATAGAAAATCTGAGGACTTATTGTGAACAGTTATATTTGATGAGAATTTAAAAATGAAACATACAAGTTAAATAGAATATAATAAAGTTACTGTTGCTGCCGGTCCTTAGGCTATTTGTGAATCTAAAATGCCAACTTTAGGATAAATGCCTATAGTTTTCTCATAGATCTTTTTAGCACTAGAACAATTTAATCCAGACTTAGTGTTACTTTAATGACTTCAAATAATCTTCAGAGTTTTCCGACATTATTTTTACTATCGAATGGATTTAAATTCAACTAACAGGCAAAATTTATTTTGACTTAACTTCTAAAATGTTCTCGATGACCATTTTTATACCCCAATTATGACAAAAATATAATATTTCATGTCATCAGTATCATGAGTTGCCCTAGACGCATGTGCTAATTGTTGAGACAGATGTAAATCAAATTGAAAGCCACAATGTTTCTTTTGATAATACATATCAATGCAAAGCGTTCTCTGTCACCCATATTTTGACAATTCAGACCTTAACACATTTCTGTCAGGTTCTACTTTGGTTGAAAGTAATTGAATCTCTCAATTATATTTTGTTGTATGTTTTGGTTTTTCAAGAAAGTGCTAATTTGGTGTGTGCTTTTTTTTCCATCTTTTTAGCATTGTACATATGATAATGGCAGCTATTCAAAGAATCTTTCGCTAATTACCTCGGATATGGCTTCTGTATTTATATTAGACAATTCTCCAGGGGCCTATCGATTATATCCCGGTAATTTAATGCAATTTAGTACCGTATTTCTACAACATCTGTTGTTTGGTTTGTTTAAAAATTCTTGTAAACCCTTTCAAATTCGAATAGTTTTTAAACGTTTATTTAACAATTTTTGCAACCTTATTGATAAATAGAGAGTTGCATTACGGGGTTGTGAAGATTGTTAAGTTACACATTTTTGAAACCATGAATCGATCAATGTTAGACCACCACTAGAAACCTGGAAGCACTGGACGGCCGTTTCGTCCTGGTATGGGACTCCTCAGCAGTGCGCATCCACGACTCCTGCACCCCGCAGGATTCGGACCCAGGACCTTCGGTGTTGTCCCATACCAGGACGAAACGGCCGTCCAGTGCTTCCAGGTTTCTAATGGTGGTCTAACATTGATCGATTCATGGTTTCAAAAATGTGTAAATAGAGAGTTGGTTAAATATCTACTAAGAATGCAACATTAATGGCAAAGATCACTCACACCTTAATGTTTTGCCATTAAAAAAATATAACTAGTTGTTGCACCATTATACAACTTTCTAGGATTAAGGTTCTTTTGTTTATAATCGTTGACTAATCACTAGTAAGGAGTGCATATACTTAATTCTGTTAGAGTGATGTAAACTTCAGTAATGCGAAATACTTACCAGACATACTGCCACTGACCACTAACTAAACGTAACTTGCGTAATCAAAGTGTTACTGCAAATTGATGGAAATGAGGAGATAAAACTTCCCCTTTCACACACGCACATTGTTTTTCAAAGGGATTTTAAACCTTGATGATGAACTCAGTGACACCTTCAAATATAGAGTATCAGATCAATTTGTTCGGAAAAAGGAAAACAGTATTTATGTTGAAGAACAAAGACTATGTGAGTATAATCAACTATCTGGCGAAGGATGTCAACAAAATGAGTATACCTACTAGTTGAACCAAATTCTACTTGCTTCTCTCTAGATAGTCCTTGACGCGTTTCTCACAGATCTATACTATATGACATAAGTAAATGTGATATCAAATGTAGACTTCAATATTTGTCACGTACGTTGTAACTACCCTCTTTAAAATGAATCTGACAAAGCTTTAATTGTAAGTTAATATAGCACTCCCTCTTTTCTACTATCAGCAATAACATGTGTGAACTAATAGTTATACCTTAGCTTCAGTGACAGACTCATTTCAAAATACTAGACATTTTCAAATGATCAAGTCTCTCTTGAGAAAAGCTTGAAGTCGGTCATCTGGTTTCAGTGTACTGTACCATTTCAGTGGTTGAAGCCCTCTTTAAACACTGGGATAATCAAGTATATTAATGTTTGGTAATCAACATACTCAACATTTTCACGAAACTTACTACGACAATAAATCAGTTAAAGTATCTTCTGAAATACTTTAGCCGGCTTTTGCATCTATTTAGTCGTAACCTATAACTGTACCATCAACTTCAAATTGTTTTACTGATACAAGCATTCGACTAAACTAGGAGTCTCTAAAAGTCACTGGATACAAATGAAAGTTCCATCTGGTTATTAGTTTCTTACCACTAAGTTTCGTTGTATTTTTGCTATAAAAAAAATCTGCATACACTAATGTATTTGCTATCAACTAGGATTGCGTTAAGAAAGTTTCATTATAAGCACTTTGTTTGATAGAATCATTGACCAAATAACTTGAGGGTGTAATGCTTGTATATAGGGATAAAGATATATCATTAGAAATAGTAACTTTATTACTATGATTTCAATCGATGTTAGTGTATGTACATCCTCTATAGATTGTTTCGATATCGACATTATGAAACAATATATTTAGTGTAGATGGCTTGTTATTAATAGTGAAATTCCAATGTGAATATCAGCGATAAGATGTTGTGTATATCCACTTGACAAGTCCCAAACAGGATGAAATGTGCGTCCTGGATTTCAGTGATTGTATCTGTTCTACTAATATTCTAAGTTTCGTTTATTTATTGATTGATTGAAAAAGTTATAGGAATTTTTTAAGTGTTGTCTATTTTTATCGTCTTCTAATGATTAAAAGGTTCGATTTTTACCCACCTACTTCAGTTTGGGCAAACTGGGCATATATCATTAGTTTTCACACTAAGCGTGGTTCATACCAGAATAATTGTTACGCATGGACATAAACATGTCACTTGATAACGCTTCAACTATTACGAGTTTACCTTAGTCGGAAAACAAGAGCGAGGATCGAGGATCCGGCGACACGACATGCTACTCTAATCCGAATGTCCCAACCCCCGTTGAGTAAAAGGAGAAGACTTGGTATGAAGTAGGACCTGTATTCTGCAAGCATCCAGAAGGTGCGAGGTCTGAATATAGAAGAGAATCAGGATCCCGGACTAGGGATCCGGGTCCGGATCATAAAATGTTACAGATAATGCGTATTTATACATTTAGGTCGGATAGGAAACAGCATTTGAAGTGACATTGACAGTCAGGACGACCAAATAAGAAACAACCTTTGAAGTGACATTGATATCGATGACGACCATAAAATTGACCAATAGGAATTGACCAATAATTCTCTTAAGCCATTGAATGAATATCCTAACAATAACCTGGTAAATAAGTTGATCAATTAAATTGTTATTATTCCTTTTCATGTAATCTTTTCCTCATTTTAATATTTACAGATAATGCTATTCCAATTCGGTCTTGGTTCTCTGATTCACGTGATACAGCCCTTCTATGTCTCTTACCAGTGCTGGATGCTCTTAGGTTTGTAAGTGATGTACGTTCAGTGCTAAGTCGTAATTTGCACAGGCCTCAATCCATCCTACCTTAACACTAATAAATACACACCTGTGTGTGTGTGTTTTTTTTTAAAAAAAAATTATAAATACCACCTGCCTGACTACCTTTGTGTGTTACTAGATTTTTTTTTTAGGTTCATATTATTATTGTTATAATAAAATAAATTAATTGTATATTCAAATTCACAATTTTCATTTCAGTTACTATATACATATATATATATGTACACTAAATCATTCTACTACTACTACTACATGAATCTTTATAATTAAGATTTTAGTGTAGACAAAATAATGTGTACATGATGTTCCCCCCCTTTTTTTTTTCTATTCAGTACATTCAATATTATGTTTTTGATTATGAATATTATTATTCTCAATATCTTTCTATGTTTGTTTTCTTTTCTAAAGCTTTATAACTTCCTATGTCTTCTTTAGCAGTCTGTGTACACAGTATTTATATTTTTTCAACTGTACTTTGATCCCAGTTATAATGAGTGACTATTGTATTTGTAAGGAAAATATTGTGCAAATTTGGTGTATATACTCTGTACATTTTTTTTTCTTCCTGGGTACACTTTTTTCAGTTTATGATGCGATTGATTCGTTGATATACTACTACTACTATTACTACTACTAGGCGAACATGTCCTACTGTGAACTGAATTTTCTATTGTGTGTTTTCAAGTTACCTTATCTCCTATATTTTCATCAGCATTAAACCTGTTGTTAATTTTTTTAAAATTTCTTCTTTCTCCTTTCATATTAATAGTACTAAAACTAATAATAATAATAATAATAATAATGGCGAACATAATGATTTAAATTATTAGTTATTACCCAATGATCAATTCTGTCCGTTTTCTTGTGTGTAAATAATTAAAAATATACAATTTAATTTCTTACTGTAAATTAGATTTCTCTTATATTTATGATTACTGTAATTGTTGATTGCATCTGTGTTATGCTTGAAACTATTACGAGTTCACTTTACTGGGTAAACGAAATGAAGATCAACGATACAGTGACACGATAAGCTATTGTAATCCGATTGTTCCCGGCCTTGTGGACTAGAGCAAGAAGTCTTGATATGGAGTAGAGAAGGTATTCGAAGTTGCTAAGCACGCAAATCAGGCTTATTTTATACAATGATAGAAACGCCCTTGGTGAGAGCCACAAAACAGCGTATTAACAAAAATCCATTAACCAATGACAGTCAAGGATTTCTGAGTGAGAAATGTAAGCCGTAGGTCAGCTAAGCGTCTCTTGGCGCGAAAACATAAAAATTCAAGATTTCAGGAATAAATTACAAACTTAGGACCTTTTCCCGAGTGAGTTCTGGGGATCTAACGTCCCCAACACTCTGTTTACAAGAAAACAAACGCAAAACTTTTTCATAATCTTGTGACCACTAGTTTAGTCAAAATTTTCTACGTCTAAATTAAATGTGAGAGGAATAAAACATAATTTTAAACCTGTTCTGGTTTGTATCAACAATATTTGTGACACTTAGTACCCGTAGACAATGACGCTCACTCTAGCTCAACAATGATATGTCTATTGGATTTATTAAGCTTACTCTAAAAGCTAAGATCCTAGGACAGTTGGCTGGAGGGTGCTGGTCGTTGGTCTATGCTGCATTAAGGGTAACAAGCATAAGTAAGTAAGTAAAAGATAAGAATTGTAGCCGAGATTCTTTGAGATATATACTTTTCCCTTTTTCATATTCATCACAGATATTGAACATCCTCTCCTTTCTTCGAGTTAGTGTTAATAAGATTTGTAATTCAAATAGAAATGCCTAATTGGTTTATTGTTTGGCTTCGGAACGTGTATATTTCATGGCTGCTTTACCCTGATCAAATTCTGTAATAATGTGTATGTATGTGTTGGATGTTTTGCTTATTTCAATTACATGAGAAATAACATCTACTCTCAGTGATTATTGATTAGCAAACTTTGCCGATGAACATATAAAACCGAACTCATATATATATATATATATATATATATATATATATATATATATATATATATTAACGCTCAGTTTTAGATTTGAGTAGTCTAGTCGTAAGTGTTGTATAAGCGTTGTATATTTTACTATACTTTGTGAATAGTTCAATATTTATGATTGACCAGGTTACTGAAGTTTAAGTATTTTAGCTGTTTCATTACCTTTTAGATTTCGGATTACTGATGAGTGTGGCTAATTATTCTTGTTTGTTAGAAGTCATAAATCAAATGAATAAAGACTAGTATTAGATCTTAGGATTCAGAAACTTAGGTAAATTATGAATACACCTGGACCATTGCATTCGATCTTGATTTTTGTCACCTAAGGTCTAGCAAATAGTAATGATGGGCGCGCGGACCCCAACTGGGCAGTTTACACTTGTCTACCTAGCTCAGTTCAACAACTAGTGAATTCATGGATTGATGCTACGCTTTCGGTTCACTTTTCCCTAGCTTCCTTCCACCTTGCTCATACACCAGATAGCACCCATTTAGGTAGATGGTTAGTTAATGAAGATTCACTACCTTATCATTCGATTTGTCATTTTTGCGTACTATTTTATCTCTCAGCTCAGGTTTGGTCACTCTGTGATCCCTAGATACACGAGCAGTGATTAGAGGATACCTAAGACTGAACACTGATAGTCTACGAATGTCATGTGTTCTAAACATTCTTGCTTCGCATCTATACAATAGATCACTGCTGACCAGTTAATTAATCTTTTAATTGTTTGACGAACATTCAAATGAGTAAATTAGTCGATGCACTCGGCTGTCCCACTGATGAAGGCTAATTCGGATGAGACGATCACATTCCAATTATGCTAGCATTGTCACTTAAGGTAGTCGACAGACCGCAACTAGCCAGCATCTTCACGGAACAGAAATTTATCATATGCGTATTCTAAGTTAACAAGTGAATCTCCTGGTGAAAAGTCTAACGTAGGAAATTGTATTTGCTCCAAAGAGTGGGTTTTCCGCCTGCACATCCGCGTCCACCTATGTTTCAATTTCGTGTGGTACTTCCCTTGTTTAGCTTGCGAGTTTAGTGAGGTAGTCATAACTAAATTAGAATTAAGCACGGATACACATCTGTCGCAGCTCCTAGGTTCTCCCAAAGTTGAGAGGGGTCGACTAGATTAAAATTGTAGAAGTCGAAAAACCATGGAATGTGAAGTATGACGTATTATCGAGACAGCACTTAAAGTATGATAGAAAATAAATACGGTTGTATCATTGAAACTAACTTCAAGAGATGTTAGTTGAGGTGTTCGATTGTTGATTATGGTTCTTGCATGAACCCTAAACCTTCCAGTAATTGAATCAAATCGTTAATGACTTTTTGGTGAGATACCATATCTTCGTCCAATTAATCAGTAAATGATAGACTTTGAATTCACATTTAAAGTACTATTGGTAATAATTAACATATTGCTAATGAGAAGTAATTGAAATATTTCAGTATATTATTCATACAATATATTGTATATATATATATATATATATATATATATATATACATATATATATATATATATATATATATATATATATATATATATATACAATATATTGTATATTTTTAATGAATAAACAAATTTACTGGAAATTTGTTTGTTTTATTAGTTTTAATTATTTCACTCAATAAAATACAGTGTCCACAAAATGGTCATATAGGTAGTTTAATAAATAACGATGATAATTCAGAAACTGAGATTTAGTACAAACGAGTTTTGTTTAACTGTGTTTTTCAATGCCTGCACGCCTGCACGTAAACACGTCAACTTGATATACTTGAACTATCACGAGTTTACCTAGTCGGAAACGAGAGCGAGGATCCGGTGACACGACCTTTTACTCAAATCCGATTATTACAACCCCCATATTTAGTAAAAATAAGAAGACATGATATGAAGTAGAACGTGTATTCTACAAGCATCCAGGAAGTACGAGTCCGAATCCAGAAGAGAATCAGGATCCCGGACTAGGGATCCGGGACCGGGTCCTGGTCGTGGTCATAAAACGTTACAGATGATGCGTATTTATACATTTTGGTCGAATAGGAAACAGCATCGAATTCTGTGGCATTGACAGTTAAGTCGACCAATAGGAAGTGACATTGACCAAAACATGGCACAAATGCATGAAGTCACTGACAAGTGGACTGAGTCATGTTGGTATATGTAGGCTACCTGGTTGGGTTCCGCGAGACGAAAGTCATCGATGGTTAGAACCTTGAATGACATGGCTCAGAATCGTTTGGAATGGCGCAGGTGCATCCACTCTTTGTGTTCTATGGAATTTTAAGCTTCTGCATTCCTCATAATCTCTACATTTCTCCTTCTATATTTATCTTACTGAATTATACTTCTCGAATCATATCTTCGCTCCCTAATCTTCTGCATTACTGCTAATACTTCTATTATTGCTATCATTCTTGGATTTGAACTGACAGTTGCGTCTCTTGCTGATGGGGCATGGCAACCTGAACTGATGTACGTACGTACGAAGTTCTGCGTTGTATCTGTCTGTCTATCATATAAAAGAGAGAGGATTTTCTTAAAGATAACTTGATGTATTAAAATTGTAATGATAAATCATCATGTGAATGAATTATCGAATGATTACTTGAATTTTATCCCTTGATCAAAATCATTCATACATGACCATTGTCTAAATCATTATAGCTAATAAATGAATACTAACTGTGTACGAATTGTTCATCCATGTAGTCTGAACATTTAGCTTTGTCCATGTTGATTGAACTGTACTAACAAAAGTTTCGATTTTTTATTAAATAGGAAATACTAAAATCATCAATCGATCATTGTTAGACCACCATTAGAAACCTGGAAGCACTGGACGGCCGTTTTGTCCTGGTATAGGACTCATCAACAGTGCACATCTACGACTCCTGCACCCCGCAGAATTCGAACCCAGGACCTTCGGTATTGTGCCCGAACGCCTAACCATCGGACGACTGAGCCGGTTTCAAAAAAATGTGTAACGTAAAAATCTT